CCAAAGACACCAGCTGCCCGGTGGGTCTGTGCAACAGTACGTAGCCGACTTGCGGGGATTGGCCAGCACATGCAAGTTCGGTGCGTTGTAGGACGAAATGATTCACAACCAGTTAATTGAACATACAAATGATGCAAAAGTGCGTGAAACTCTGCTGTTAGAACTGGATGATTTATCACTGTCCCGGGCATTCACGATTGCATTACGAATAGAGAGTGCAGCTGCATGTGTGTCGGCTCTGATCAAACAGCAAACAATCGCGGACTGCTCGGTCCCCTCCCCCATGCCACCATCGACGTTAGAACCCAGCCAGAATGACACATTGGCGGCAGCAGACTCCTCTGCAGTTATGCTACTGAGGCGCCAGCCGCGGTCCTAGCCACGCCCACAAGTACTTATCATCTCATCTGTCTAGAGCACAGAACTGCCCAGCCCATGGCCAAACATGCCGCAACTGTGGTAAACGCAATCATTTTGCTTCAGTCTGCCGCTCCGCTCCAGCTGTGTTAGCCCAAACACCCACTATCATTTACAATGTCTACTCTGGACCAGTCTCATTTAAAGCATGTTCAGTGCACCTAAATGATGTGTGTATCCCACTGCTTTTCGACACTGGTGCTAGTGTGTCTCTCCTGAATATGCACACATACAGCACTTTTTTCGGAGCACTGCCACTTTCGGCACTCTCTGCTTCACTCTGCGGCTATTGCGACTCAAAAATTGACTTCCCTGCAAGTGACCGTTGGGTATGGCAACAAGATGGTGCCCAGCTTTACCATCCATGTTGCCCGTCGCGGGGCCAACCTGATGGGTCTGGATTTGTTCTCGGCTCTGGGATTTTCTCTAGTTGATACAAAGCCTTGCAGCAAAAGGGGCCATCCCTGTTTGAAGGCTTGGGCTGCCTTACTGCTTTTACCCATCAACCTCTCCTGAATCCTGCCATTAAACCAGTCATCCAACCACTTCGACGCATTCCCTTGGCTCTCTGTGATGGTTTCTTGGCTGAGCTTAAGCAGCTGCTGGACGTTGGCATTATTGAACCAGTGGATGCGTCGCCCTGGGTCTCAAACCTGGTGGTAGCTCAGAAGAAATCAGGGGCCCAATGGGTGTGTGTCAGCCTGCGAGAGGTGAATAAGGCAGTGATCCCAGACAGGTTCCCTCTGCCTACCTCAGAAGAGCTCATTGCTCAGTTCCATGGCTCAACCGTGTTCTCTAAACTGGATCTCAGACAGGGCTACCTACAAGTGCCTCTCCACCCTGACAGCAGAAACTTACACGCGTATGCCATTTGGACTCAGCTCCGCCCCAGCTGTTTCCAAAAAATCATGGTGTCAGTATTGGCTGGTATACCGGGGGTGGCCATTTACCTGGATGATGTGGTTATCCATGGGCCCACCCCCGAGAGTCACGATGAACGCCTCAGCAGAGTCTTTGCAGCCCTAGCTGAACACAAACTAACCCTCAATGCTGAAAAATGTGTTTTCTCTGCACCGACTATTGAATATGTGGGTTTCTGGCTGTCGGCAGATGGCGTCACACCACTTCAATCACATGTAGATGCCATACTTGCAATTCCCGAACCCAGCTCAGCTGCGCAGGTCGCCTCCTTTTTGGGCATGACGGGCTACTACCTGAAGTTCCTCCCACATTATTCTGCTACCACTGCCCCACTACGGCGACTGCTGCGTAAGGATGAGCCATGGGTGTGGTCACAGGCATGCTCTGATGCTGAGCGTGCGCTCAAGGTGCAGCTCACCACAGCCCCAGTGTTGGGTCACTTTGATATCTCCAGCCCCACTTGGGTGACCTGCGATGCGTCGGCTACAGCCATAGGAGCAGTGCTGTCACAGACCCAGCGGGGCGTTGAGAAGCCCATCGCCTTTGCGTCACGGTCCCTCAATCAGACGGAGCAGCGGTACTCATTGGGGGAACGTGAAGCATTAGCATGCATCTGGGCCTGCGAGAGGTGGCACTTGTATCTCTATGGCCGCGCCTTCACCCTAAGGACAGATCACCAGGCCCTGACTGCACTAGTTTCCACATCTGGGACAGGCCACTGAGGCTACACCGCTGGTCCGATCGTCTTCGCCAGTATAACTTTGACCTGAAGTTCAACCCAGGCAGAGACAATGTTGTGGCCAATCTACTGTCCCGCTCCACCACACCCCACCACACACACATACACCGACACGGACCAGGTGGAACGGGACATTGTCCAGATGTTACACACACCCCTCCAGGCCATCGTATCGTTACAAGAACTGAAGGAGGCATCGAACCAGGACCCGGTCCTTTCTCAGCTCCGAGTCTATATTCTGAATGGCTGGCCTCAGGAGGTACCAGAGGGGCTGGCAGCATTTTCCAGAATAAAGCAGGAGCTGTCGTGCTGGAACGACACCTGTGTGGCACGCGCCCTCTGCACAGTCATCCCCAGCACCCTATGTGCACGTGTCTTTGCAATGGCTCACGAGGGCCACCTGGGTATTGTGAAGTTGAAGCAGCTGCATTTGAAATGGCCTGAGCTCATTGCCACCAGCTCTGTGACCTCTCAGGTCATAATTAACATCCTGGACTCTCTGTTTTCCTACTGGGGCCTTCCAAACACTATCACTACTGACAATGGCCTGCAGCTGATCTCAGCTGAGTTCACAACATACCTCAAAAACAAAGGTATTCATCACATCCGCACGGCATACTATCACCCCCAAGCTAATTGTGGTGTCGAACCCTTCCATCAGTCACTGAAAAACAGTCTCAGAGCGCACTTGTTCCAGGGATGGACCTTCTTAAGGGCCATCCATCACACACTGCTGCACTACAGGGCCACCCTACACTCTACGACGGGGGTCTCTCCAGCTTTCCTCATGCTTGACCGTGAGCTCCACTTTCCCCTCGACAGGCTCAGCCCCGCACTGCCTCAGGGACCACTACCGAGAGTCAGGGCCTCTGTCACCCGCCAGCAGAGGAGGATGAAAAAGAAATGTGATTTCTCAACACGCGTTAAGGTCTCTGACATAAAGGCCGCAGATTGGGTCAGGATTCGCAGGCCCCACAGAGACAACAAACTCGCTTCATATTGGTCTGCCCCTCTCCAAGTTACTCATCAGCTGGGTCCAGCCACCTTCTTGCTCAGCGACAGCACACGGTGGCACGCAAGCCGCCTCCGCAAAGTGCCACCCCGGCACATACAACAGGCGTCACACCTCAAGCCACACCCCCAGCTTGGCAGGACACCCCAGCGCTTCAGCTGACACCTCAGATAGCTCCTGCACAGGCTCCAGACATGCCTATCAACCTGCCAGCTGAGATGTGTGCCTGCCCATCACAGGCTGCCCAGCCTTATCCCCGTGTTTCTCCACGGCCTGTCCGCATTCGTTCTTGCCCAGGGCACTTACAGGACTTTGTGTCAACATTTCATGTTTGAAACGTGGGGGGGGGATGTTGTGTTCTCACACAAGTGTTGTTTGATAATGCATTGAGTGTTCAGTGATGCATCGAGTTTGATTGTGCTGAAAGCATTCTGTCATGCCTGACCAATGTATGTGCTCGTTTACTGGGGTCTGAAACAGAGGTTAAGTAAAAAGATACGATAAGTTGATGCTACTCGCTGTGTCGGTGTGATCCTTATCAAACGCAACAATATTGCAACCAGGTGCCATGGCTTTGACTAGTACACTAACCCAGTCAAAGATACAATTAATTCACAAAGCTATGATTTTGATGATTGCTGATTTGTCAGGAAAGACTCAGTGTGAGGCTATGCTATGCTTACCCATGTGCTGGAACTTGAAGCATGACTCTCGAGGCCAACTAGTGAATTCCTGGCATCCTTCAATCTCAGATCTCACCTGAAGTAGCCTACTCACTTTTCATTTTATTAAAAGATTTTTTTGGTTCAGTCTAAGGTTTAAACCAGGTCAAATGATATCAGGCTAAAGGAATCTGATGTTGTGCAATGTTATGAGGTGGAGTGAGGCATGTTTTTGGCAGCACAAGTTGGTGTTTCATTATCACACTAATAAATGTGACTAGAATTAATCTATTAATGACATATAAAACTGTATTTGTTTTTGAAAAAAATTGCAATTGTTGTTATCAAGGTTATTATTGTTAACTAAACTTAAAACAAAAACATTTCCATTATTGAAGGAAAAGAAACAACTAAAATCAATTTAAATATATAAAAAAAAAAACTTATATTATTTTATTTCAGGCTACATTTTTCATTTTCATTTAGCTTAACCTGAAGTACTAACATAACTAAAACTAAATAAACTAAAACTATAAATAAAAATGAATGAAAATTATATAAAATGAACTAAATAAAATTACAAAAACAACTACATTACTAAAAGTAAAGCACAAACAGAAAATATAAAAATAAAAACTACTTCAAAATATTAACAAAAACTGTAATACTATATCACTGATATTAAAATAACACTAAAGTAAAAGCAGTATCACCCACACCAACACACACAAAATAGTGATGACTAAACATCCGCCACATTTATCACTCTGAATGTTTCCACGGAGAAAAAATCACGTGAGAAATTAAAACTTATGAGGCTGCAAATCGGATAACATGATGCGTCATAGCTTCTTGTTTATTTGCAAGGATCCATCTGTTCAGTAAATTACATTTTATGATTCATAAATAATGAATGCTATGGGGATATCAAATTTGGAGGGAGGGGCACAGGTTATGCTTAATCCAGATCATAAAGAATAATGGAATGACAGTGAAATGATATTCAAACTGCCTTGAGATTTATATTATGCCTAGATTTATATATATATATATATATATATATATATATATATATTTTT